GGGGGGCTGTCACCGTGTGCGGGGCTGCGCGGGGGTGCGGGCGTGTGTGGCCGCGGGTCTCCGGCCGGAATGGTGTCCGAGGCGCTGCTCCTGGAGGGGTGGAGGGCGTGCGGGGGTCCAGATTCTTCTGGGGGAAGGGGGTCATCGTCCCCGCCCAGCACCCCCGGGTCTGGGAGAGAGTGAGATGGCCTGGGGCTGCGGGGGCCTTGGTCACGGAGTGAAGTCCATGCCACCTTTGTCTTGGAGTGTGTGTGTGTCACTTGTTTGTGCTCTTTAAAAATTTTTTTTGATAAGTGTGTGGACATGTGTATGCTTTCTTTTATTCTACCCTGGATATCTTTGGGTCTGAGGGTCTTTGAGTGTGTCTGCACGGCCTCTGGAACTATACATCATTTGTCTGTGTCCTGTGTCTTTGGAAATGTAGGCATTTGTGTATTTGTGTGAAATTTTTGTCTGAATATGGGTAGATTTGGCTGTTTCTGTGTCTTGTGTGTGTGTGTTTGGATATGTGATATTTTAGACACTGGGTTCTGTGTTGTGCATTTTTGACAATGCGTGTGTGCACCTGGGGTGAATTTGTGTGATTTCTTTTTCTTGTGTGTCTGGATATCGTGTGTGTGATTTGCTTGTGTTGTCTTTGGATAGTGTGTAAGTGCATATGCGGATAGTTTGTTGCTATAGTTCCTGTCTTTTGACATTTGTGTTTCTATCTGTGTGTGTCTTTGGATGCATGGGTGTGTGTGTGTATGTGTGTAGTGTGATCTGTTTCCATGCTGTATGTCTTTGTGTGAGTGATTTATGTTGTGTGTCTCTGAGTATGATGTGATGTGTATTTGTGCATGGATATCTGTGTGATCTCTCTGCTTCCACACTATGCAACTTGGGTTATGTGTGTTTTTCAGTAGATACCTATGTGGGCACGTGTGTGAGATTTGTGTGTTTTCCCTTTGTGAGTATTGGGATGTGTCTCTCTTTGTGTGTGCGACTGTGTGAATGGTTGGTGTTGTGTGTTTGGATATGATCCTGTGTGCACGGTCCGGCGTGTTTTTGTCTGCTGCTGTGTCGTGTGTAGCTGTCTGCTCCCTGGCCCCGGGCCTGCCGGAGTCCCGGGTGGGCGGCCCCGGGGGCCCGGGAGGGGGGGAG